TCAGTGCAGCTCGTGTGTGAAAACGCTGCATTTAAAAGCTTTTTCCAGGAAAAGAAACGGCCCCTGCCAAGCTCATCCCCAGGGTGGGTTTTTTTGAAGTTGCAATGCAGGGAATATCTGAAGCGGCTACTGAGAGGAAAGGATATTTTGGGGGAGCTAGAATTTTCCCTTTGTACTTCTTGTAAAGCATTACATGGATCCTTCAAACGAGCAATCTCCTGAAGTGTGTAATTATGGACGTCACGGTACTCAGATGCTTCTGCAAGCAGAGCACTCTTTCCTGCTGAGTGAATTTGGCAGCACAGGTTTAGTGGTTTGCAAGTGCACCTAAAAGCAGTGTTGGCTTTATAGGCCACAGACTGCAGTGCCTAAATATTAAGTGCTCCGTAATGACTGCAACAGAATCCAACACTGCCAAGACCATAACAACTACAAGTTTATTTTTTCTTTCTAAAGCAGAAAAAAAAAAAAAATGGTGCAAAGAGAGATCAGTGGAACTTTGCCAAGGCAGCAAATGCTGTTGCAAAAGTAAATTGTCACTTGCTAATCAGGATTAGGAGAAATACCTAGTGGCACTATCAGCAGTACCTGTGCTTCGTTGGCAAAATCAAAGTTTACTGTTGTCTAAGACAAAAACACTGGGGGGAGGGTGCTCCTTGAGGCAGTAATATCAAATCCCCTTTTGTTTCCTGGAGAATGATTACAGTGAAATACTTTGCTTATGTTTCCATTCCTTAGACCATCTGTTTCAAATTAAACCCTTCTGGCGTGATACATCATTATTTATTAGAGCATTACATTAGATAATGCAGTGTTAGTATTGCTGTTATAAACCCTTAGTTTCATAAGTGTGACTCCAGGGGCAGAACTGGATGTGTTTACTTAATGAAAGGGCTGGAGACTGTTAATAAAACTAATTTTTCAGTTCAGAAATTACTTTTTTTTTTTTTTTTAGGTCTTTCACAACACATTTTTGGTGTGTCTTTCAATTTGCAACTCTGACTGTGTTTGGTAGAGTGAAAACTTCTGGCTTTAGGTGACTGAAGGTTAAAGGACTGAGGACTTGTTAGTGCTAAACTGTGAGAGGCAATTTAAGAAGTACAAGACCTTGCAAGGAGAGTTTTTGTTTTAATTCCCAGTCCCAGAGTGCTCCAGAGGCTCACCCATCCTTACTGAAGGGGGAAGGAAGGAGATTCAGCCACAGCAAAGCAAGTCACAGCTCTATTTGAGATACTTCAGTTTACCAGTGATGCCCAGTGTTATTACAAATATTTCTTTCAATCTACTTCAGTTGGAAAGATGGTGACTGTGAGAAATGGATTAATCATTCACGATAGACTGTGAATGCTTCAGATGAGGCGAAGCCCACTTTTAAATGTGCTTATGGAGAGTGTGTCTGGGCAAGAGGACAAGGCTTTCATCTTAAATGAGCTTCTCTTTTTCTGGTCAAGGGAGATCTGAAGAACCCTCTAGTGGGTGATTCACAACACCTGGGTTAAATTCGAGATCTGGATCACTGCTAAAATATATAAATGTGCGCTTTCTTTCATGGCAGAATCTCCCCAAATTTTGTGCTGCATTAACCGACACAGAACTTTGTAGTTCTGCTCCCCCCTCTCAGAGCAGTCAGACACAGTCAGGAAGCCAGGATCCCCTCCAAAATATTTTTTTATTACTGGTCAAATCATACCAACCAAAGTTGCTTAAAAGCAGTATTCTCTCTTGCTCTTTAAAAAATGTAGCAAGTGTGCTTAAGTAGTGTAATTTTATAACCCAAAAGTTTAAACTAGTGTATCATTTAAGTTTTGCAGGGTCTGAAGCAGGCCAGGATGACATCAATATTTCCTTTAAGAAGGCCAGCAGTAAATCCACAGTGTGTGTCTGAATACATGTGGATCAAATGACATAATGTTAACTTTTTCTCTCTCTCTCTCTGTTTCTCTTTTGAGAATAAACTTACATTTTTTTTTTTTACAAGGGGAAGGTGATACGTGGTGAGTAAATACTTTAAGGGTCATGGAAGAGGCTTTTCAAAACCACATTTTCCTGGTTTCAGATGTCCTTTTATTAGTCTGTTTTGTCTAAAAAAAATGCCTGAAAGTTAATAAATGTTGCTTGCCAGTTGTAGGCTGGAGAGCTGCCCTTGCTCTGCCTGCAGCTCGTGGTAAAACACCCAAACACCGACTCATCCCTGCAGCCACCCTGACCTCAGGCATCCTCCTCGAAGGTGTCTCTGCACCCAACCCCAGAAATGGGATAATCCCCTGGGAATCGTGCCTGGACGAGTACTGGACCTATGGCATCAGTAGCACAAGCATTTACTGTTTTAGCTAACAGAATAATTCCATTAGTGGGTACCATCAGTAGGTTGTTATCCTCTTAGGTGGATTTTCTGCTCACAGATGATGAAGCACAACACAATAAAACTGGATTACAATAGCAGCAATATAAATATATATATAAAGAACAAAGAGCTGGAGGTTAAGTAGTTCTTGGTGAAATGCAGGACTGTATATTCAAGCCAGTGGTAACTTTCAGCAAATTATTTTTAGAGGTGTTTTTTTTTAACCTTATTGAATTCCAAGTTCACAAAATTGTAAACATAATCTAATTAAAAATAACATTTTTGGACTTACTGAGTAAAATCTAAGGTAATCTGAAAAGACTTTTGCACATGAATTGTGTGAGTATATTAGTACCTAATCCAAGCAAAACCAAGCTGCAGAATGTGAGCACAGGCACGGGAGATCCCTGATGGTGAAGTGTCAGCACAGAAGAATGACATCCAAATGCAGCACTGAGGCAAACAATCAATATTATCCATTTTCAGTTTCTAGTGCAATGAGGTTACCCAGATGTTCAGCAATACTTTTTCTGGCTGAGGAAACAGTTTTGGCTATTGCTTAACAACAGTCTCAAACTTTTCGGGGGGTGAGCAGAGCTCGGCCCTGGTAGAAGTTGGTGACACTGTCATGAAGACACTGGAGACTGAGACCTGGGGAAAAGGGACTGTGCTATTTATGAGGAACTGTATGGGAGGTTTTGAAACTAAACCTTTTCCTTCTGGGCTCTTGGTAAGCCCAGCACTGTATCAATACACACACCTGCCTCTATGATAAGGGCTAACACTTCCAGGATAAGTCTGCAGAAAAATAATAACAATTTAAAGCTTATATAAGAATAAACAGAAAGCTGAGTACCTTAAATACAGAGAATGAATGGGCAAGAAGGATAAGGGGGAGAAAAATCATCTATTCTGTAGCAAATTTTCATCAAGGTCTGATTGACCTGAGTGGCCCCTGGGAGCCACTGTTGGTCTGTGAAAAGCCCAAGAGCCAGAGTCAGATCTGTGTCTCCTCTGCACCGTACGGGTGTGGGACAGAGACACAGAGTGGTGGACAGGGGAAAGACACTCCACTGGAAAGTGGTTGAACTTCAGCAGCAGGAGCGTTTCTTTTGGCAGGCACAGCACCCCTGTGGCCCTGCTGTCAGTCCCGCAGGCAGCCCCAGCGCTCTGGGGAACACATTGGTGTGCTGGGGGGAATGGCCTTGGATGGCACATTACTGGAATAACAGGAATAGTATCGTACAATTTGTAGCGTGGGGAATGTGGTGATGGAGTCACAGCTTGAACAGGTGGACAGGAATGGTAAGAACGCATAATTAAATATGCAAAGGCTGGATAATGGAATCTGTAAAATCTGCTGGCATCCCAAGGTCCACATTCAGCAGCATTTCTGTTACCGTTTGCAAACTGCTGAATCTAACAGGTAGAAATGGTTGAATTTGGGATGTCAGCTCAGAAAAAGGTGGCTCTGTTCTGCTTCTCTTTCCCCAGGGCCTCTGTTGTGAGGTTATTAATTGCACCATTGCCTATACACAGGTAATTAATGTTGCAGTTCAACCACAGGATTTGTTCTGCGCAGGGCAGTGCCAGGGAGCTGTTGTGAGCTCTGGATTCTGAGGGAAGTTCAGGCCACGGGCACAAGGGGTGGGATGGGAATGCCCGGGCAGGTGGAGCAGGTGACACAGGAACGTGTCCAGGGAATGTCTCCAGAGAGGGAGACTCCACAACCTCCTGGATACCCTGTTCCAGTGCTCTGCCACCCTCACCGTAAGGAAGTTCTTCCTCATTTTGAGGTGAAACTTCTTGTACTTTAGTTTATGGCCACTGCTCCTTGTCCCGTCACTGGTCACCACTGAATAGAGTCTGGCACCGTCCTCTTGGCACCCACTTTTGAGATATTTGTAGGTATTGATGAGATCCCCTCTCAGTTTTCTCTTCTCCAGCCTAAACAGGCCCAGCTCCCACCGCCTCTCCTGGTAAGAGAGAAGCTCCAGGCTCATCATCATCTCTGTGACCCTCTGTGGGACCCTCTCGAGCAGCTCCTTACCTTTCCTGTGCTCAGGAGCCCAGAGCTGGACACAGTGGAACGGCTCAGGGATTGTAACTAAGATGGAGCTGGCAGGGCTGTGTTAGTGGCTGGACTCGATGATCTTACAGGTCTCTTCCAACCTGAAGGACTCTCTGACGCTCGCTTTACCCACGAAACCCGCACCCCGAGCGCTCACGGCGGCACCGCGGCGGGCAGGGCTGCAGGGGCTCCCCCGCCCAGCCCACCGGGCTCCCGGTGCCCCGGGAGATGGTTTTGGGGTGGAAAATGGTTTTGAACCGGGCAGGCAGGAGCAGTCCCTTCTCCCTCCCCTGAGCCCCCGCAGCCCCGTCCTGAGGGGGCCGCAGGTCCGGGGCACCGCGGCTGAGGGGAGAGGGGACCGGGCCGGGACCGTGAGGGTCCGTGGGGTCTATGGGGGTCCTTGAGGGTCTATAGGGATCCCTGAGGGTCTTTAGGGGTCTTTGGGGGTCTTTAGGGGTCCCTGGGGGTCTGTGCCGCCCCGTCGTCCCCGCTCGCAGAGGAATCTTGCCCCGCGCCGCGCTCCGTCCGGGGCGGGGCGGGCGGTGCGGGGCGTGCAGTGCGCTGAGGGGCCGCGGCCGCCCCGCCATGTCGCTCCGCCGTGCCCTGGCGCTCGCCGCCTGCGGGCTGGCGGGCGGCTCCGTCCTGCTCTCCGCCGTCGTCGTGGGCAAGCAGCCGGCCCGCGGGGCCGAGGGCGAGCCGCGCCCGCCGGGCTCCGCCGTGCCCGCCGCCTCCGCCGCGCCGCCCGGCTTGCTGCTGCTGCCGCCCGCCGCCTCCTGCCCGCCGGCCCCGGGGTGGATCGAGAGACCCGCCGGCAGCGGCGGATACTGGGACAGCAACTGGGACAGGTGGGCGCCGTGGGGGCCGTGCCCGCGGGGTCGGGGTGTCCCCGAGCAGCCCCGGCCCGGGGGACAGGGGCCAGGCGGGCCCCGGGACCGCTCGGGTGGGATTTCGGGGGTGAGTGCTCGGAGCAGAATGTCGCTGGAGTTCCTGGAGGGAATGCTGGAGTGCTCCGGAGGGACGTGCCAGCGCCGGGTTTTGTTGCAGGCAGCTCGGAGACTTTCCCCTGGGCAGGTACAGCCCTTTATTCTGATGCTGCCCAGTGTCGGGGTTGTGATGCTGTGAGCGCTGGGGAGAAGACGTGCGGGGGTTTTGTGTTTGTTTGTTTGTTTTTCCCGTTGCTCTGATCTGCAGCGAGGTTTCCCGGGTCGGTGGCAGTGCCCCTGTGGGTGCCAAGCGCTCTCAGGGGCTGGGCGTGCTCTGGGCCTGCTGCTCTCGAACCTGCCAGTTCCTGCGTTTAAATCCTGCTGAAGGGAATGGTGCTTTGAACCCGACTTAGTCGTGTCTTCAGTGCAGAAACTCATTCACACAAGGGTTAACTGCATTTTTTACCATTCTTTGATTAGAACGTGCAGATATCTGTTCTGAGCTTTGGCTCGTTTAGCTTCTGTCTGGTAGAATTATCTCCCTGGGGAGACTTATGTCAGGCTCCAGTTTAATCGTGGTAAATCCAAACTTAAGCACTAACAGATTTTTATTTTATAATGCATCCAGTTTTGGGTTTTGAGAGGCTACAGGATCAAATGGTCGTGTAAGTAGGGCTATGTACATCGCAGTGATAAAAATAAAACCTTTATTAAATAAGATTATATCTGGTTACACAGTTACACTGAGGGAGGTACTAAAGCTGCTTGTTTAACTGCAGCTCCAGGCCTTCCTGCTTTTGCTAAAAGGTTGATTTTCTTCAGGGATTCTCAGATTCTTTTTTTTTATTTTTAACCAAACCAGGAAGTAGAGGTTGTGCTGTAAGCAGCAGAGCTGTTGCAATTGCCTGAACAAGTACAGCAGATGATACTGTATGGTAGTCAGTGATAGTGCACAGTGTCACCTGCAAGTGTTAATATATTACCGCTGATCAATTTTAGTTTCTTCTGCTTGCTGTCTGCCAGTTGGTGTGCTGTGGCTTTGGCTGTCCCTGCTTGTATTCTCAGTTCTGATTTTTGGATGTTGTTGGCAGAAGCATTTAATGTGAAAAGTTGTTGAATGGTTTATAAATGCACAGGGCATCTGATGTTGACAGTCAAGTCTTGAGCAGATGACCAGGTGTTACACTGTTCTTAGCACCTGATGGCTTTCCAAGTGTGAAACAGAGGAGTGCAGGTATTTTGCATGCCAGACTGTTGGTGTGCCCCTTGCACAGGGATTGTGCAGCTCAGTTCGTGGAGAAGTCTAGATACAGGTTTCATTCATGTGAAAAACTTTATTTCAGCCATCAGATGAGTTATTCCCTTTGCTGCTTTACAAATGTGCTTGAATTTATTTTAAACCTTTTTTTTGTTGTTTTCCTAATGTATCTTTCCAGCAGTATAGTTTCCACTGAATCAAAAGAAGTATCCTGTGAAATAGGAATGGAATGTCTTCTTATTGGACTATTGTTTCATTTTTAATGCCTTGCTGAACTTTAACAGCTTAAGAAATGTGTTGAGCCTCACTGTTTAATGGAAATCGTGTGTTCACTACAGGAAAATGGAGGCAGCAGGGCTTTTCAAAGCCAGTCTTGCTGAGACCTGTACAAATAGGCACGGGAAGCTGCAATTTTCTATGATTAAATTACTTTGTCTCAAACTGAATGAAAGTTTTATTTTTGATTTTAAAAAAAATCTGTCAACGAATCAACAAGTTTAAAGGAAGAAGTGAAGTCTGGTAGGAATTAAACGAACTAACTGGTTTCCAGGTATGAGATCAAGGGAAAGATTTACACTCTGAGGTGGAGAACGTAGCAGAAGGATTTGTATTGGTGGGAAAAGGATCAGTGCAGGGAGGGGCCCAGGCCAGTCTGGGGGAGATTTGGACAGGGATGGTGGTGATGGTGCAGTGTGGGTGTCAGTGCCACTCATTGAGACCCCAGGGGAGACAGGGGAAGATCCTCCTGTCCTCAGAGGAGCCAGGTCAGCTGTCTGGGGGATGTGCAGAAAGGGCTGCTGGTGTGCACTGTGACAAGGGCAGGAGAGATGACAGTGGCATGAGGGGAAAGAGGAATGAAAAGGATGAAAGGATAAGTACACACTCCAGGCTGACAGATGAAGTTACTGGAGAGACCTGACGTGACCTGGTTTAAGGCAGAAGGTAATTCTCAGTGTGCACTGCAGAAGGTTGGAGTCTTTCGAGGATATTTTGGGGGGATGGTTTTTTTAGTCATTTGGTGTAAATGAGATTGATAAAGTGCAAATTTTCTGAGTGTTATCACAGGTCATTTTAGATATGGAGCACTTTCTTTCCTTTATGATCAGTCAACACCTTTTCCTCTTTTCCTGGGTATCCCTTCTGGTTAGTTTTTCTTGTCACAAACTCTGCTGTCAGGTTACACCTTTTAACCTATGAAATTAACTTTTTTTTAATGCAGGCTTTTATTTATACCTCTCATATAAAGGTTTGTGATACAAATGGCTAAATTGTCAGTGTTAGTGCTTCATTTATAAGTGGAAATAAGGCAAGGATATCTGTGTGTAAAATTCCTCTGTCTTTTAGTCTCCCCTACCTGAAAACATCGTTTTAAATGTGTTTGTTTAGACGTGAACCACTGGCTCTTATCAACCTCAAAAAGAAAAATGACGAAACCGGGGAAGAAGAACTCTCCTCTCGCTTGGATCACTGCAAAGCCAAAGCCACCAGGCACATTTTCCTCATCCGTCACTCCCAGTATAATCTGGATGGCCGGGCTGACAAAGACAGGACTCTGACCCCACTCGGTAGGTGTCACTCCCAGCGTCGGACCTGGGAGGGTTTTATAATCCAACACATTTCACTTTTGTTGCTGTCACTGTTTCTGGGAGTGCTGCTGATCAGTGAGTTGAAAGGAGGATAACCTCTGTCTGTGTTAATTCACTGATCCTGTCAGTAGGTCTCAAATGCTAATTGGTATTACTTTTAGTCGTGTACTTTAAAAGCAGTGGATGGTTTTTTGATTATATATATGCCAACAGTGTTCTGAGAGGGCGAAGAATTGTTTCTCTGGTGGTTTCTTCCTCCCAAACCTTAATTACCGGTGTGCAAACGGGAGTGAAAGGCTAATGTGAGGCCTCAGGTGCCATCTTAAACTGGTAACAAAGTTTAATCTTAATCCTGTCTCATCCTGTGCCTTAAGTAAATTAATTAACCTGTCTGTTGTCTTTTCACCTGGGGATGGATGGAGCCTTTCCTGAGGCTGAGGTGCCGTGACCTCTGGGGCTGGTGCTGATGAGCTGTCAGGCCTGAGAGGGTGTGTTTGACACAGTCACTCTGTGCTCCCAGCAGCTGGCTTGGCTCAGCACTGCCTTCTGTTGGCAGTGACTTCCTTGGGATGGGGCTGGCAGGGATATGGAAGATTTCAGTGAAAGTTGATCAATAACTTTTGATTTTTTTTTTCCTAATTAAAAAAGCAAACAATTTTTTGGTGCCAATGGAAGTACGACTTGAAATCCAGCCAATAAGCTTGGTCTGAGGAAGCAGTGACTCTGGTAAAAATTCTTTCCAGTTGCTTTTTGAAAGGAAGAACCCTGACATCGATGGAGACCTTTCATGTCTGCTGGACACCTTTTTTATGGTTTGTGTGGGACATGAGAGGGTCACCAATTTATGTAATAAATATCCTTTTTAAGGTCGAGAGCAGGCTGAGCTGACTGGACACAGGCTGGCAAGCTTGGGATTAAAATTTGATCAGATTATCCACTCCTCCATGACCAGAGCAACTGAAACAACTGAAATTATAAGCAAACATCTCCCAGGTAAGACACTTCCCTTAATTTCTCATTGTCTTCTGAGCCTTAAAACTGCTTCCAGTAAAATTCTAAGCTTGTCTTTAAGGTTGAGATGTTATTGAGCCATTTTCCAGCCCTGTGTGAATATGTCTGTAATAAAGAAACCTACAACTGTAATTCTGCTTGTTTCCAGTATCTCTTTAAAAGAGTACGTGTTTTCAGAGGGCAGCAGTCTGGGAAGACTCAGCTTGCTGTGCCAGGCTGGTTTGGCTGTTCTCAGCTGAAATAAACTTTGTCTTGCTGATGGCAAAATAGTTGTGTTGGAGAGATGGACTAAAATGGACTTCAGGGTGGAGAGGAAGCCTCCCTGGAAGAAAGACTATGAAAAATGCATTGACTGTAGAGTTGTGGGGCTGTTTGTAGTGGCATGTAAAGTAACAGCTCCTTTCTCAATGTGTATTTGATGTTTCAGGAGTCAAAAAAATTAGTACTGATCTGCTGAGAGAGGGAGCCCCTATAGAACCAGACCCTCCAGTCTCCCACTGGAAACCAGAAGCTGTGGTAACTGTTTCTTTGGACTTTGTTGTTGTTGTTGTTTATGGTTTTTTTCAGCATACTCTGTATGGACAGTAGCAATAACTTGCAGTGTCTGAGCTGATGTTTTTTATCACAGACTTAAGTTAACTGCATGCTCTTCTGCTGCCCAGTAAGTGCAGAGAAGAGTTAAAATGCCTCCAGTCCCCAAATGTGTGGGTTCAGGTGGTGTGCCCCGTAAGGGAGAGCTCTGGAGAAGGGGGAGGCCCTGGTGGCAGAGCAGGGTGCCCTGAGCTGTGCCCTGGGCTGTGCCCTGAGCTGTGTGTGACTCTGCCCTCGCTGCCCTGAGCTGTGTGTGACTCTGCCCTCGCTGCCTCCAGCAGTATTACGAAGATGGAGCTCGGATCGAGGCAGCTTTCCGGAACTTCATTCACCGAGCGGATGCCAAGCAGGAGGAGGACAGCTACGAGATCTTCGTGTGCCACGCCAACGTCATCCGCTACATCGTGTGCAGGTGGGAGCTGGGGGGTGGCAGGGCCAGCTCTGCCTCACAAGGGTGGCTTTATTCAGGTGCTGGTGGGTTGTGGCACCGCTGAGATAGGAGATTGTTGGTTTGGCTTGTTTGAAGGGATTGGAGATCGGTGCCTGCATTGTGAGCAGCAGGATACATTTGCAGATACAAGATACACTTGAATTTAGAACAATTTCATTCTAACTCTAAAGCAAAAAATGACTAAATTGGTGAGATTTAACTTTTTGGTACATCTGAACAGTTACTGTAATACCTTGTGCTTCTGCTTCCATAAACCTGAGGACACTGCCCGTGGGGACTGTTGGAAAAGACAACAACTAGAGCATCTGACTGATGTGTCTCCTTGAGGTGACATGAATTTGATCTTACACAATGAAAGATTGATTTAGTTTGGGGAATTCTTTACTAATGGAGATTTTGGAGTTATGTTCAAGTTGCATTAGTGTGTTTTTGCAGTAACATCCAGTATTGGATTAAGGGGAGAGTGGAGCTTTCCGATAACATCAGGGTTGTTCATGAAGGAGAAAACAGTTCTGGATCCTTGCCTGTCTCTGTGTCCAGCCAGCTGAGTCTGTTTTATTCCTCTTCCCTCTCAACAAAGCACTGTCTGTAGGATAATTTGTCGCGAGCAGGACAGATGTGATTAAACTTTAATCTGATCAATACCTACAACAATTTCAGTTAGCTTTATTAGCTGAGCTAGTTAAGTGCTAGCCTGTCTGCTCCCTGGGCTGCTTTAGAGCTCTCCAAAATTGCTGTACTTAAAATTATTGATCAGGTAAACAGAATATTCTTTCCTGTGCCAAAAAATATCATGTTGCTCTTACTGAGGCTTTTTCTGAAACACTTATGTACCTTTTCTCTTTGCTGTTCCTTCCCTCTTCATTTTAACTCTTCTGTGCCTCCTACTCCAGGCTGTCTGATAGCACAGCTGAACATGATCCATGTTCCATTCCCTTGGAATCTTAGCTTGGCTCTAGCTGGTGTTTAATTTCTTGGGCTTTCTAAGAGACTGTCATAAGAGCCCAAAGCCAGTTATTGCTCAGTATCTGAGGCAAAAGGTGTTTGAGGCAGCAGGGTGTTCCTTCCAGCTGTTCAGTGCAATGGATGGAGCTCCTGGGGCTGAGTTAGGACTTTGAGAACAGCAGGGGTCCAGCTGTCACGCTGGGTTTCTGTGGAAGGCACAAGGTGCTGTTTCTTGCCCCTTACAGGGAATGATGCAGCTGATGGAAAGGGGTTTGGTGAGCTTGTTCCACAGACCCGTGGAGGCCCCTGGAGTGGCCCTGTGTGTGTGCTCTGGTTGTGTCACCTGCCCGTGTCGGTGACACGGTGTGTGACAAGCACTGGCTGCTGACGTGGCCACCACGCCTGGGCTCTGTGCAGGCGGCCCTGGGGGTGCTGAGCCAGCTCCACCCGCCCCAACCTGCACAGGAGCTATGGCACAGGAGCTGTGGTGCTGCAGCTGCCCCAGGGACAGCCTGGACTGTGCTCTGCACTCTCCTGTTTGTGCTGAGGTCGCTCAGAGCGCTCCCGGCAACCTCCTCCATTTGAGCTCCTGCCTTCTGTCTGCCCAAATTAATCCTGTCAGCAGTAATCACACCCATCTGCTGGACTCTGCTTATCAGAGGGCACTGCTGGCCCCAGTCCAGGTACCAGTGCTGTGGTTTTATCAGTTCCACAAGAAGAGGATTTTTCTGAGGCTGGCTGGGAGCACTGGCATGGAAACCGCAGAATGCCCAACCATTTTTTTTTTCCTTTCCCCCCTCTTGTGGGGCCGAGGGTGATGCTGTGCAGCCATGTTCGTGTAATTATCTGTGTGTTCTTCCCCAGGGCGCTGCAGTTCCCCCCAGAAGGCTGGCTGCGCTTGTCTCTCAACAACGGCAGCATCACCCACCTGGTGATCCGCCCCAACGGGAGGGTGGCCCTGCGAACGCTGGGGGACACAGGCTTCATGCCCCCTGACAAAATCACTCGCACCTGAAGGAGCAGGAAGGATGGCTGTCCAGGAGCTGCCTCAGCCTCTTTGCACTAGCACGTTCTGCCACAGTACCACTAGAGTTTTTGTTACCTTGGGGTGTGATGCTGTCTTAAAATGTCCTTTAGCCCCTTGCCTCCTTCATATTCATATCTGCCTTTCAGTCCAGAAAAGAAGAAACCTTTGTAAGCCTGAAGCTGTCCAGTCCTTAAGTGTTCCCCAGAACTCAAAGCTGAGCTGTGGAATACTGAGATTGAATGTCTGCTCAGCAGTTGCAAGAGCACTGACTTCTTCCCCACCCTGCCGTGAATTCCTCTAACCAAAGCTTGCTCCTGTGGATATTTTTCTTGTGCAGGAAAGTGATTGGTGTGGGAGCAGCCTCGTGTCTCACTGCAGCTAAAACAAAAGATGAGCCAGCTTGTCACAGCTCCTGCAGAAGTGACAAACAGGGTATTCTGCTGTTCAAAGGACAAAGGGATAAAGCTTCAGTTTTGTAAGCTGTTAAGTGTGTATATTTATGTTGTGTCATTGTTTTCTGCCCCCAAAAAGCCCATGTAAACTGTGCCTGGAGGTTACGAGCATAAAGCAGAGGGTAAAAACCCCATTTGCCTCAGAGCTGTGGTGCTAGATTTAACTGCTGCTTATATTAAGTGTTCTGCCATCCTCAGGATGTCCTTGAAGGTACTCTGGACAATATTTTTCAGTTTTGTAAAGCCTTTAACTTATACCATGGTCTGGGAAAGTCTGTAGAGATGAGTCTGTAGCAGTAAGATGGAAGGAAAGCAGCAATCTTCTGAAAGTGCTTTCAGTTGCTAACTGAGTGCTCTCTCCCGCTGATTTGTGTTTGTTGGTACCTGACAGCAGAGAAATGGCCCCCTGAGTTGCAGGAGTGGTGCTGCAGGTCCCAGGGGCTGCAGGGGTGCCCGGGGGTCCGTGGGGTGGCATCTCTGGGCCGATGTGTGGGACAGGCCTGGGGCAGAAAGTGCCTCCTTCCCCCAGCTCTGACACTGCTGAGGGGAGGGCTCAGCACCATTCCCGTTTAAGGCTGTTTGCTGGGCACCTGCACCCCTGGAGTAACCTGGCTCAGTTGAAAGCTGCAGTCTGGGAAATGTCACTGTGTGCACAGTCTGCCTTGGGGACAGCAAACACAACTCAGTGTCTGCCAGGTTCTCTCACCAATCAGGGTGTTGGGCAGAGCTGTGTGGAGCATAATGGGGGCACACAACCTCTGGAGCCAGGGTTTAAGGGCTGGTTTGATCCCACACTGCTACAGCAGGACAAGGTTGGGGAACTGTGGGGAACACACCGTGATTGCTGTGTAGTGCAGGGGGTGGGGGCAAGAGGAACCATCATGACGTATCTCTCATTGATGCAATGAGAATAATTTATCAGTTTTTGTCTATGAACTTTTTAAAAGTTTTGAATAAAATACTTGGTCTGTCTGTCTTTCCTTCTCTTCAGCCGAGTGGCTGCATGAGCAGCTGCAGCAGGTGGGGCCGGAGCTGCACAGGGACTGTCCCACACTGCTGAGGGCAACACTCCATCTCCCAGCTTTGTCCTTCCAGCTCCAACCATCTGAAATGTGCACTGGGATAGGAGCCAGCACAGGGCTGTGTCACCCCACGTGGAACAGGAGCACCAACACCAGTAAGGTGCACATGCTGGGTGTTTTTATCTGTGTGTACACACATACTCTCTCACACCCCCTCTGTCAGGTTCTTGGTGGGCACCCAGAAGACACACAACACTCTGCACAAGGACAGAAATTAACGAGTTTTGGTGCCAGTTAAGGTGGAGGGGAAAGGATGAAACTTACTTAAATACGTATTTTTTCCCAAATTCTGAGCTCCTGTCTCTTCAGCACTGCAAGGCAGTCCTTGTAAGTCTCTGGGGGTGCAGTGCAGTGTCACTGTGCACACACACAGATGCAGGTACTTGTTGAGCGAGGCCTGGCCCAGCCAGCGAGTCACCCAGGTATCAGCGCAGCTCCTGCTCCCCCTGCCCCACACACTGCACACAGGTGCCACTTCCAGCTGTTTTTTAATAGAAAGTGGGGTGGTTCTGCATTTTTAACATGACACTTTTTGCTAATTAAAAAAAAAAACAACCAACAAAAAACACAACTCATCTTTTGCACCTTTAAAAGTGAACTTTTGGCCAAGAAAACACAATTCAAGCACTATCACTCTGATTTAAAGTGTCTCCACAGGCTCAGTGTTGAAGGGCTTTCTTCACAATCACAAATGATCCCATCACTACAAAAATTGCTATTTTTGTCACAGCTGAAGTAACACATGGTTAGAAAAATGAGCTCTGCAGTACCACTGGACTAATGCACATTATAGAACACAGTTAAAAAAAATACTCTCGAGAGAACCAAACCAAAATTACAAAGTGAAAGGGACGGGTGGGGGTGTGGAGGTGTCTGGCTACACGTACATACAGGTGACATACAGGTCAATATTAAAAAAATGAAATAAAGCGTAACCACAGTAAAAAGGCCAAAGAACTAGAGTGTTAGTACTGGTCTCCTGGCTCAGGAACAGACTCTCAGTGAAAGGGTGATGCTGCTCAAAGGAACCAGTATGGAAAAGAGCAGCTGCCCCCACAGCAACTTACCCCTCAGTCTGGCTGGAACAGGGTGTGTGCTGAGGCCTTTCTCCAGAATGACAAAGACTTTTAACTTATTAATGTTAAATTATTTTAAAAAACCCAAACCAACCAACCAACTGCCCCCAAAAAAACCCCAAACAAACCCTAAACCTCTCAAGGTAAAACTGTAGTTATGTGGGACCATAAAAACTTTGAGACCATGGAGCTTGCAGCATCAAGAAAACAGATTAAAAAAAAATACCATCAACAAAAAAAACCTGTATAAAAGTAAGTCAGTTAATGTACTTGGTAACAGCAGGTCATCTTTGTGAGTTTTTTTTTTGTTTTGCTTTTTTTGAAAATGTCTCTTAAAGCATGACACCCACCCAAGCCCCTGCTTGGTGTGTGGAATATGACTGAATGAGAGGCATTTCTGTAAAGTAGCTCTTTCTAATGTCCAGCTCAATGGAACTAGGCTTAATTTTAACAAGAGAGCAAAATAAGCTTTTTTTTTTTTTTTTTTTAAAGAAGAATTTCTAGAAGAGGAGTCTCTCCCCCAGTGGAGAGCTATCGCACCAGATAATCAAACTTAGAGACATAAAAAGACATCCTGTTCAGAAAGCCCAGAGAAAAACTGTGTTTTATCTGCCCAGAGTAAGTGGATGCCACTTTTTTTTTTTTTCCAACTTCTAAAAGAACAAAAATTTAATTAAAAAAATATATTACAAAAGGCACTACTGAACTTGCCAAAGCATTAAGTGCAGTGTTGTAGTTTGTCCTACGGAGGGTGCACGGTTTGTGTAGGGAACAGTCACTGCCGTGTGAGCGGGGCTGACTCGCCCTGGCACTGGTGGGACTGGGCTGACCCCTCCTGCCTCCCACTGCTGTCTTTAGGCCTGGAGCACTTCCCTGGCAGCTCCACGGTGCTTCCTCACGGCCTGTGTGGCACCAACACTCCTGATCCATCCCTTCCTACCGGCACAGCCGTGCCAGAGCCTCCCCTTCTCTCCACATTTATGTTGTTAACAATAGATTTTTTTTTTTTTTTTTTTTTTTTTTTACCTCAGAGCTCTGTTTCTGGAAGCCTTTCATGCAACATTACAGCCACGAGGCTTGATATGGAAATCTCTGCAGTTTTGAGAAGCTTTCTTCACTCCCAGCGTTGCGCTGTCCAAACAAGTCATTCTTACAGCAGGCTGGAGAATAAAACTATCGACTGCTGTAACAAAAACTCATTACCATGTCAAGGCTGGAGACACACTAAAAGCTTAGATTTCAAGAAAAGTATTTTTAGTCCTCGTCTCTCTTAGCAGTTGGGAAATAAGGAGCCGCCTCATGGGCCACTGGCTACCACACTAATATATTACAAACTAGACCATTAAGGTATCTTGCTGGTAAATTTGCTGAGATTATTGCTCGTGTGCTTTTGTGCAATAACTATTAAAATCTGCTAATGCTAAAAGCTTTTGTGGGGGGAAAAAATCAGCTAGTTTTTATGTTTGTTTTTTTTTTTTTTTCCTTAATCTTCACTCTACCACTGAAAGGAATCCCAGCAGTTTGACAGCACTGGGGAGATCCCGGTGTCGGTAACAACACGTACAGTGGACACACAGGTGAGTGTGTGGGGAGCAACTGCCCAGCCCAGGCTGCTGGTTGGACACTGCTTATGCACAGGGTTCCACAGCCCCATTCCCTACTAGGAAGAATTCCTTGCATTACCCAGGCAGGTTTTGGCCTTTTTGCTCTCAGGGCTACCCCTGCAAGCAGGAGAACATTTCCCTTCCTGCCATCCCTTTCCTCTCCTGAGGTTCTGTTTGTTGATGATGTTTTTCCTCGCCTGTTCAAGGTAAAGAAAGGAGCAGAGGGCCGTGTGTTCATTACAATAACAGTAACTAGTGCTGGCAAATTCCACCATTGCTAAGGGAGGGCTCAGCTCACCGTGTTAGTGGCAACAAGGGTTAATTTGTAGCTACTGGACAACTGCACTGTCACGAACTTCTTGCACGTCACCAGTAATGATCTATCTCGTGTATGGCATTAAGACATATATTCCATTTTTTTTAAACATACAGCTGTCCTCAACTGAGGAGAAATAAATAGCCGAGTACAAACCTCATGTCACTTCAGTAACAGTGTAGTTTTTTCCTGCAGTGGAGCAGAGGGATCCCAGGTGCAGTGGCAGGCTCAGAGGGCGGGGGGCTCTGCCCGGTGGCGCGGTTGGAGCAGGGCCGGGGGCACCCAGGCCGGGCTGTAGCGCCCGGGACTGCCCGGCTCTGCAGGGAAGGGGCTGCCACTGCCGTGTCTGCCGGGACTCCCTGCCAGGGGACTGCTCCTCCCGGAGCTGGGAGTCACCGAAGCACTTGGAAGGCCAGCAGGGGTGGTTTGGGAGCGGAATTTCACCTTCAGAGCTGGACTGGGCCAACTGCAAGAAAGAAAAAGCGATTTTGGATTTTTTAAAGGAGGCTGAAGTAAGGAGAGCAGCACTTTAACTCACTATATAGTCAGACTTTTTCTTAGTAAGAACCAGAATTTAAAATTTCTCTGAAAGCAGACCAAAATATCTTTGTTAAATTAAAAACTCTTTTCTGTGCAAACCTTTCCTTTTTTCTCTAAATTTTATCTTAAGCAAGGCAGAGTGACCAAAGGCTGTTTCCAGCATCTGTTCTTTCTTTTATATGTGACATATATGACTCATCTTAAGATGTGCCACTTAAGAGCCACTACAGAAAATATGCTCCAGGTACAAATATTTGGTAAGATTTCAATACACCCACGCCCAACTGTAACCGATCCACACTCACCCAGCTTATTTAAAACCCTTTGAAAATCATTTCCCTCTGACAGACCTGCTGGTATCTGCATTGTTAGGCCTGATTTTTGCAGCCAAAATCCCACATCCCTAAACTCCAAGGGATGGAGTTTTGTTTCTTTTGGCAGAGGCAGCACTGCAAAATGAAGGAGGTGACAGAGTAGACCTTGGCATTGTCGAAGAACTGCACGAATTTACTCACCTGACAGAGCAGGGATTACACCCAAAACCTCAGCTACATTTTAGCAGAACAACTTGCCCCTTTCAGACAGTGGAATAAGAATGTGAGCAGCCTGACAATCAGATTGTTTCTTTCAAAAAATTAGTCAAAAGATGCTGGCCCTATTTCAGTGCCCTGTTTGGAATACAGAGACTAAAGGAAAGTGCTTTCTTTCCCAGTTCTTAGCACGGGACAGCATCTCCCCTTCCACTCACCATCTGCACTCCCTCCAGCCTTCTCACACATTGCTTCAACCTTTTCCACAACATTCCTCTTGCCCCAGTCTCTGCTACCTTAACACAGCTGCACTTCCCACCTCCTACTCTGAATTTTGTGGCCAATAAAACCAGTCAGTTATATTTTTAAAACAAGCAGAATTCCACACATTTAAGGAAGCTGAAAGGAACAAGAGAAAAATCAACTCAGTACAGGTCACTAGATGCTTTCTGTTCCTGCCCCCTTTCCAACTGGTGTGTGGCACTGGATCAGCTTCTTGTTCTCCAAGAACTTTATAATAACTGTGCATAAACTGTTGTCTGTCTAAGCAAGGGACTCCTCAGTGTTCTGGCCAATGTCTGTCACAATGGAAATAAATCTCTATGTCAGTAAAATTACCACAGGGAGCCACTTGTGTGAAAAGCTGTCACTTTGGGTCCTCAAAACCATCAATATTAAAAATAAAACATAAAAACAGCATAACATGTCTTCAGGCCTCCCAACAGAGGCAGCCTGTGTCCATTATTTGTGTGGCAAAACATGACATTCTCTCAAAAAGCTTAACACACACCATCCTTCACACAAACAATTCCTTTGGACTGGGGTAATAAAGGTTAAAAATAAAATCAGTAATAAAAAGATGCCTTAAGATATTAAATTCACCTTAATATCACTCTGCACAAGCTCAGTACTGCAAAGCAAGACAAGTTCCTGCACTGCATCCACAACAGGGATGAGTTACCAACCAACAGCACAACTACTGCTTATGGACAGACACGAGCCAAAAAGGCTGGTGATTAATTTCAGAAACACAGTTAACACAGTCCAGTATTCAGAACAAGGCTCTGGGAGCATTTGACTGCATGTGCAGCAATACCTTTGCCTGTCAGAGGAGGAGTAGGACTGCACTGCGAGCTTCCACTTGGAAATCATGGGGTATTTCTGGGCATCGATCTCTGCTGCTTCCAGAGCTGCCAGCACATCACCATCCAGCTTCGAGGGCTGCTCCCTGCAACAGACACACAACTGCATGGAAAGACAGCTGTGCATTGCTTAGGCAATAAAAACCCCAATTCCAAACACTTTGCAAACAGATTACTGTGCTCCTCTACAAACACAGCTCCCCCATGAATCTGTCCAGCAGCCCCCCAGGAATTCTGTAATTACACAGAAGTCTCAGAATAAACTGCTCTTCCTCCTTCTGCTCTATGTTCAGGCTTCTGTACAAGCACTGGGGCCCTGTCAGATGACTGTTCAAAGCTGACTGCAATCAGTGGTGTTTAGTGTCACATCACCTCAACCTTTCAAAAGTTATCTTGTTTTTGCAAACAGAAACCCAAGGAAAAATAAAGTGTTCAAAATTAGGACAATTCTTACCCAAGCAGGAATAACATAGAATTGTCATTTGTGGGTAAAGCCTTCGAGGGAAACTTCTGGGAAGAAAGTTCTTGACGCTGTTGTGCCTCCTTAGTCAGAATCCCAGACTGCCTGGACAGCCTCTCCTTTTCTAAGGGCGTTTTGTGTTCTGTCCTTAACTTGGCCTCTCCAGATTTTCCTGTAACACCTGGCTCAGAAGAACTCGCCAGTGACACTGCAGAGCAGGCCTTGTCCAGAACCCCCTCCTTCTCAGTTTTCTCCGTGATTTTATGAGATTCTCCCACAAGCTCCTGTTCCTGGAAGGACAGGCTCTCAAACTCGGGGGTTAAATCAGAGACGGGCGATGCGGGACGTTCCTCCCCGCCGCGCCTCCCGTGGCTGATGATCCTGTCGGTGCCCACGGGGCTGCAGAACCCGTTCCTGCTGGGAGCAGCCGCCTTGTGGCCGTGGGGGGCCGTGGGCAGGATGTTCGCTGCCCGCCCCACGGCCAGGATGTCGTCGATGCTGTCGTCGATGCCGGGCTCCCGCGGCACCAGCGGGGGGCTGAAGTTCCGCGCCGCGTTCTGCCGGTTTTTGATTTCCTCCAAGCTCATGTCATCGTCATCCTCGTCCAGAAACGCCCCCACCGAAATGGAGTTGCAGGACTTTTTGCTCTTCCCTGTCAGCAATTAAGAGCAACACATAAAAGGGCTTTCAACTGAGCATTGAGTAAATAAACTGGGAGCAAATACCCAATTTTTATGCCCTATTCTATCTCCTGAAGGCCTAATTTTATTTATGTAAAGACAGCATGAACTAACCTGACTAAAGCTACAAATGCAAAATGACAACATCGTTGCTGTGTATTTTTTGCAAACAACCTTTCCTATCCTAGTCATTTGAGAACTGCATTTCCTGCACCCCCCACTTCAACCATTAACCAGCAACAAAGGACAAGGTCAGGATAAAGCAGAATAGGGCAGGGAAATGTTACTAATACAGAACAGCCTAAGTTTTCATCTCCTCCAAAGCACAAAGCCTTGTGACTAGTCCAGTGACCACCCCCAGGGTCTTAGGCCAGGTTTATCCCAGCACCAGAGCCCTTCTGGAAAGGGAGGAAGGAGCACAAAGATTTGGGACAAGTGTTGGCTTCCATGAGCACGTGGCAAGTAGTGGTCTAAGATGGTATAAAAGCTTTCCTGGATTCTGCTCTTTGTCTTTCATCCTCAACTGTAAAGAATTATTCTTTTATTGTCAAAGGTTATTTATTCTGTCCCTGTGGATTACAAAATTCTGTACTTTGGGATGAATTCCCAAATGCTCTGAGTGAAAAGATACTGAAGACAGAGGTTTGCTTATAGGGATTTCATTTGGGGGCTATAATCAAATAAAGCACTTCATATGAGAGATTAAGAACATCTAATAAAGCCTGTTGTACTTCTCTTACACTCACAGTGTCGTTGGCTACTTTTCCAACACTATAATCAGATTGTTTGGATAACAGATTAATAATAGCAACCACAAGAGGTGAATAGACTTCCCCTGGGCACCGAGCTTTTTCTCTCCCTCTTGTCCCTTGGCACCACCTGTTGTTTGCAGCATTTGCCCTTTGCTTACCCGAGGGCTGGGGTGTTTTATATCTGTTGCAGGTTTCATTTTCCCCTGTCTCCTGCTGAGCCTTTTCGCTCATTTCACGATGACTCAGGTACTCTTCTAATTTTCGCAGCCCCTCCTGGGAAGACAGATCAACAAAACAGCCCAGAAATTCCCAGTATTCAACCCACGGGAACCCCAGTTCATGAGCTAACTCCCTGCAATAAATAAAATAAAACGGATCATTTGTGGAGACAGAAACAGCAGTTTGACAATAACTTTTCTGATCACATTCTATCAGCTACAAACAGGAGCACAAACGTGCAATGACCCAACACAGTTCTGCACCAACCAACAGGCTGCAAAAGCACAGAACATCCTCAGCAAACAAAGTATCCTCTCATTCGTTCTAGAGTATTTTTTAAATTTAATCTACTATTTTACAGTTTGCAGCACAAACACTGCCACCTTTAAGCTGACTGTATCCAGACATCAGATAGCAATGACCAAATTTGAATGACACTGCATTCAGCACCTTGTTGTATTTGGGAATGGGAAGGTAGGAAGAAGCAAGGGTTTATTTTAAAGAATGAAATCTAGTCAGCTTTTAACAAGGTATATTTTTTCCATATGTTGCTGATAGAAGGTGTTTTAACAGCAAGGACCCCCCTCCCCCAGCTTTTATAAAGCAGCACATTTGTATTAGGATCTTTTCATTCTGCTCCCTTTTAACAATCCCTCCTTTTCCCAGAACAAGCAGGCTGTGTGTAATTTTACATCTTCTGAAATATTAGGCAAGTCAACATTTGAGAAAACATTCCACATATACCATCAATAACAGTTCAATTATCTCTACTGCCAAAGTTAAGGAAGCCAGGTCTCACATGTTAGCTATTGTGTTTACACAGAAGTGCAGTAAAAACCCAACTACAATATACTTCATTAAATATTTCTGCAGTAACTTCTGCCCCAACACACTGTTCAGTAAGAACTGTACTCTCAGCACAGTCGTTTGCTTTTAATTGCTCTATTATTAATTTTTTATACTGATAGTCTTTTAGATACCTTCCAACTCTTTCAACACCCCTCTCCAGATCAGATTTCCTGACATTGTGAAAGAAGCCAGCTCTCTCTCGAGGTGGAGTTTTCCAAAGCCTGCGAAATTCTTCAGCCTTGAAAAAACAGAAAGAAATTAAAAAACTAACCCCCCACCACAGGAAGCAACTCAGTCCTGGCTAAATATCTCCCTATAGGTCTAGAAGACATTCAGTTGTTTGCTGTCCACAGGCAAAGAACTCAAGTTCTGCCACAGGCATTGCTCAGCTCCAGTGATGAAGGATAAAGCTGCTCCTCCCAGTATTGCTCAACTCTCATCTCCCAACTGCTCATTACAGGAGAGGGACCATAACGTGCCATCACCTGAAAATCAACTGTACAGACACCAGGCCTGCCTGGTTTAATTTGTCTGCAGCAGGAAACAGAAGTGTCCTGTAATTTTGCCATGTCACTATAATTTTATTTAATTACAAATGCTCTCCTGGTCACTGGTTTCTAGGATGCAAAGGGGATATTTTTATATGCACAGAATCACTACAATTACTAGAATATATTCTTGCTGTTGATTTTGAAGTTTGAATGCCTCAAGGGAATTTTTTTGTGCAATCCCACACTTTCTGACTTTATATGAAAAAAATCACAACGATGACTAAGAATTACATTCAGACATTAAAAATATCTGTCAGCAATCAAAATGATGAACTGTTTACACCCTAAAGTAATACTTCTCAGAGTATAAATGGTATTTAAATTTCTGTCAGTTGAACAGAAAAATGATCATTTAGAACAAAAAACATTAAGTGTCTTGGTACAACCCAGTCTTGAAACATTCAAGCATCAGATGACACAAAGCCCTCCATGGTATTTATTCACCATTTCTAAAGCTGTCGTATTTCCAGCACATTCCTATTAGACAAATGAGTCAAAGAAACACCTATAACTTCATAATATCCTTAGCAGGTATCTAAGTATTCCTCCTGAAAACTAAAGCCTTTGTTTTTCTACTATACAACCAGTACCTTTCCAAAACCATCCCAACACCTACTACTTGGTCATCAGTTTTTCCACCTAGAAAATACATAAATGTTAATTCAACAAGGAGAGGTGATAAACTGCTTCTAACATCCAGTGGCAATTTCTAGAAATCAAAAACACAGTTCAGATTTTTCAGCCTGATTCACAGCTGCTTTGAAAGGCTTTGCTCCATGTTAGAAAGTTACAGTAATTAATTATCTGTAAGACATGAAAGGTTTGACAAAGGTGTTCTTTGAATAATTCCAGGAGGAAGAAGAAAACTTTCTTTTGACTGAACTTCCATTCTTCTTCTTTACCCCACATTCTGTTTTCAGCAATAAAAAAATATTTACAGGTTTGTGTGCTTCTCCAACACACAATCTCCTCAAGAAGAGCCACAATCTGCACCAGGAGCAAGTTACACCACCCTGTGCAGGATCTTCTAATGGTTCTTCATTCATAAAGAGGAAAAAACAGGCATTGGAGTGATGCAAAGTTCTCTCCTTACCTTTGAGGGGCTCATGGGGCCTGCAAAAGCTCTTATGGACAACACTGGATCTTTGGGGCTGCCAGGGTATTTAAATAAAGTCCTCTGGGGACCATCATCCGTCTGATCCGGTGACCACGGCGCTCCGATGACAGGAGCTGAGGAATTGTCTTCTGCTCTCAACAGGGGCACATAGTATCGGCCTGAAACAAATGACACAAACCTTCCTTAAGAAGTTTATGTTACATCAGCCTGCTGCTGCTTCCTGGGGTATCAATGCACCCAGACACTTACCCATCTGACTTTATCTCATTAGTAAATTCAGTTGTAATTCAAACTCAGTAATTCAGGATTTATTGCCTGCTTACAGATGGTGCTCGAGCAAGGATACACAGAGCCCTGCCCTCAGGATCCTCAACAAATCACAAAACCTCCTTTTGCAGCCCCCTGCACACACACGTGATGAGACAGAGGAAGTCCTGAGTCCAAGAAGTGTGAGAGATCCCTCCCCTGCCCTGCTCAGGGCTTTGTTTGCTGCAGACTGAGCGCTCTGCTCGCTGCATGAGGGCCATGCCCTGGGTACAGAGCTGAGATCCCGTGATCCACACACGGAGAGTTCTCACCACAGCACTTAAACACAGGGAGTTTCTGTTCCTGCTCAGTTTGAGTTTCCTTTGGTACAGCAGCACCATTCAGGAACTGCTCCAGAAAACCCAGAGAACAGAACAGAGCAAAGAGCCAGAATCCACATCTGACACAGCACAACGCTCTGCATACACACCTTTCAAGTACTCTCTCAGCTTTTCTTTCAATTCTGCAGATTTATTCTTGCTTCTTTCACAAACTACCTGTTAATACAATGGCAGTTGTTAGTCAAGCAGAAGACCTTCAACAGTCACAGTACTGGCCTCTACCCATTTCTTACTTTCAATTCATAGAACATCAAACCATCTACATCTATAAAATCTAAAACTTTTCCACAGATACAGTCAACATAAAATACTTCTAATGTTATCAAAAAATTACACTTTATTCATAACACAAGCACCTTACTACAAGCCTTCTATCTACAGCACTCACTAAATGTTGAACATGAAAAATATTGATTAGGCATAAAACTTTTGGCTTTGCTGAGGACATGGAGAGACTTACTTCTGCTGGAGTTTGATCATATTTGTTTCTTGGATTTTTCACAATAGCTGGGTGTGAGGTAAGCACGTTAACAACATCCAAATTCCCAAACTTGCAGGCAAAATGCAGTGGAGTATCAAATCCCTGCAGTGGGAAAAATTCATATGCATTTAGAAAGATGATAAGGTCAATACCACACATTTGACTTTGAAACTGGGAAAATTAAATAAAGGTCCTGACTAATTATCCAGGCTCTTGATAAACTCTTCTGCAGAATAATGATTATTAAGACCCACAAAATTAATGAATAGCTCATTTTGCCACAAGTGTCCCCTTCTGTCTTTCCATCTCACTTACACATCCTTAACACCCTCCATTCCTATGACAACCAGGTCACCATCCAGATCTCACCATTTTATCTGGTGTGTTGAGGTAAAGGTCAACAATGTATTGGATGCGATTCTTCAGCATGGCCTCGTTATCGTCCGGGTACATGAGCCTCATAAACTCGGGATTTTCCAAAGTGTCCAGCAGTAACTGGCAGATCCCAGGTTGATTCTCCTTGGCAGCAACATGCATGACATTGTACCTACACCCTTCCTGGAAAAAAAAACCACCACCATTAGGATGACCCAAAATCCAACCAGCTCTCTTACAGCCATGCACGTAACTCATTTCACTGCCAAAATACAAAGGTTCCCACACTGAGTCTTATACCAATATTTTTGTAAAGACTAATGCACCTCTACACCCACATTATTCTCATAATTAATTCAATTATACTCAGCTATAGTCTTTTTCTACATGTAGGGCAAAACTGTGGCAAAGAAGATATATTTAGACATGTACAATAAAAGGAGATAGGAAGTTGAGTGTGTGAAAAGAGCAAGAGACTGTGTATATATACACACACATATAAATAATTCAGCTGTACTTTGTTGTATTACACAAAAATGTTAACAGCTTCCCAAAGCTGGTCTGACAGAAGGCATTTGTTAGGCAAGATTGTCAGTGTTTGTTAAATGGTATCTTATACATGGTTTTGAAATTTAATAGTGGTGCTGATGTAAGCAGTGCTGTAGGAACAACTCATTACAGCCTGGGCCCTAATCTTTAACAATCAGTCTATTTTTAAAAAGATTGCAATTATTTGGAGGAGATCAATACTATATGAAGACAAGACCATTCTTTCACTGCTGAATAAAACTACCCTTCACCTGCAGAACTGCACACAGTGCCTTTAGCTCTTCTGGAGCAAAGAGAACTCCATCGTGGGTGACTTACACAGCACAAGCAACTGCCTGGCTTCTCTTCATTTCCAGCTACTATCAACAAACACTGAGAAACCTTGCACTGGTAGAGACAAGATCTCCTGAAGGAAAGGTAGGAAACATTCCTTCCAGCTCTGCTATCAGGCCCCAAAAGCCACATCCCTAAACAGGAATATGGATGTTCCTATTTTGTTGAGTTTTTTCACCTGTACCACCGTTGGATTGTCTCCTGACCCGATCAGATAGCGAGGGTTACTCCAGATCAGCTCTGAAAACGTTGCTGTGTCTCCCTTCTCCACAGCTTTCCGAAGTTTAGCCGTGAGATCCTGAGTCCGTGGACTTTTATAGCTGTTGGCTCTCTCCTTGTTGGCAGTTTCAGTTTCAGGGGAGCACAAGCCATCTGCCAAACACAAATCATTTGTTTCGAGATACATTCTTTGCAGTGATCACTGTTTTCAGACCCAGGCCATGAAAACAAGCTTTTAATCTAAACTACATACTAATTTTGCATCTTTAATGTACAGGAGTAAGAAACAGAGGACAATAACAAGACGTTTAAATACCCCAGTAGTTAGTAATAGGGAGGCAGAGGAAAATGATTAATCACCTTATAAAAACTGTTTCAGGCTTTAATAGGGACTGGTAAGTTCTATAATTACCAGTCTACTCCCATCCAAACTTAAAAGCAAAATTCAGCAAGAGGTAACAATTGCTTCTGCAGTTCTGTGACTCCTGGATCCCTTTAATCTAGCAAATGGGAACACTGGGAAGTATGATGAGTGCTTACCATTTTACTTCTGAACTTATAAATATATCTAACAATTAAGTATAGTTTTAATATACTGTGAGGTTTTATCAGTGTCTTATTAAACCTGAAAGTCCTGAAGTCCATGAGTAAAAAAAAATCCTAACAAATATGACCCACATTTCAGCTTTAGAAGAGTAGCAATGTTTTCTTCATTTTAAACAATTTAATTCAATTTTAAACAACTTCAGCTTATTAAGGTGCTTCACTCTCTGAGTTTTTCCCATTATTAGTATATTGGTAGTGCAGTTCTTGCTTCTTCTCTTACCAGAAAAATGAACAGACTATATCACATCTACCGTAGAGAGATGAACCTCCTCACTTACCTCTGTTAAATGATCCCATTTTCACTGGTGACAAACATAGGGAGGACTTGCTGGGAGATGGGAAATAATCACAGATTCCTTTAGCAAATTTCTCAGCATCTTCTCTGTTAGTAAAAGCCTTAAAACGGGAACCCTTAATCATCTTAACAGCTTGGAGAGCTTCCTTTTTATCTTCATAAACATGTACTCTCTCTGCAACAAAGAACAACCAAAGTTACACTACTTCAATAATCTCAGATTTGATCCTAGAAACAGGTTACAAAATTCTCAGATTATCCTTCCAGTAGGAACTACTATGGCAGAACACCTGGGATGCCTTAACCGTGTTTCTGTGTCTCAGAAGATCAAATAAATACTGTCAGCAATGCTTACAATACTAATGCAGTGGTGTTCATATCCCCTGCTATACAAAAGAAGTCTATTTAGACATGCCTGTAAAATGCTTATCACTGGAAATAAGGGAAATGAGTATTTACCATTCCTTGCCAGTATGTCATCATAAACGGGGCAAACACCGTAGAACAGTGGGGGATCTCGGGACGGTGTCTGAGCACTGCTCTGTGAATCAGCACTTCCTGCTGCACAGGCTGGAGCTGAGCAGTTCACGTGTGTCACAGCATCTTCTTCTGGAGGGTTCACACCCACACAGTACCCAAAGTCTGTCTCCTCAGCAGCACCCCCGTGGCCGTTGTGATTCCCTGCCGGGACGTTCCCAGCAGCCTCCTGTGGCAGAGCAGATCCCGTGTCCTGCAGTGCTCCCTGCTGCTCCAACAACGCCTGGGCCAACTTCTTCTCAAAAATAAACCTCGTAGTTGCAGTGATGGGGCCGCATTTCAGTCCTGCTCTCACGATCTCTTCTCTGAGCTCATCGGGGCCAAGCTTCTTCAGTTGGGACAGTATTGAATCCATTGTTATTTCACCTGCAGGGAAGGCAAAAATACAGCAGAGAAACTGTAAAAAATATCACAACGTTTCTTCTGCTATTTAAAAGCTGTATTAAAGCCAAGGAAAAAAGGGTCTCCCAACAACATCTCTGATTTTTATGAGATTCTCACAGTGCAGAGAAGACAAAATACTTTTCAATTCAAGGCATTAAAAACATTTTTAAGCTATCAGACCTATACCAAGTTCTAGTTAACGGTACAGCCTACAGCTTATCCTCACTTGTCCTTTTCAAATTTCTTCTGGAGTGAGAATTCAATCCAGAATAATATTTGATTCCTGCCAAGAAAGGCACAACCTGTGTGTGTGATGCAATACAAGGACACGGCAACCAGTCAGCCCCAGGAAGAGGGGCAGCACCAACTGCTAAAAGCAGAGCACTATTTCCATTATTTCCTGAAGAATTTCTACCTGACTAAAGCTTAAGGCATAAGCACGATAGAGCAACCAGGGGAGGCTTTCTCTGGCCATGATGCAAGGCTGGAATTATGTGCACAGCACGTTGTTTCCCAGGCCCTGTTTTGAGAGCAAACAGCCAGAAGACAAAAACAACTGATCTTTTCAGATCTCCCTCTCCAACAACAAGCAGAAACTGGCAGAAATTCTCCCTTTCTAAAGGAAAATCCTTCTCTCTGCTATGACAAGATGAGTCTCCCTGCTCGCTCCCCTCCATGTAACCCACACTGACAGCTTCTGCACTGGTCAGTGAGGAGATACTGTGACCAACACAACACCAACACAAATGCCTTGCTGTGAAAACCACAACTGAAGGAAACACTGTGAAAATATATTTAATGCCAGACTTACGCAGACTTTCAATTATTACAACTTGACAGTCCTGTGAGTTTGAGGGTTGCTTCCCTTGAGGGCTCTTTCCTTAGAGTTTTTTCTTTTTTATGACTGTCTGATTTTGAATGTCTGTGGTTAGAGAACATACCTCTGTCCCTGAATATTTCAAATATGAACTGGAACCTTGCTGAAACTTCGGGAAATGAGAGTATTTGTGCTTAACAAACCCACCACACTGCAGCAAAGCCACAGCTGGTGCTGCTGAGCTACATCCCCAAAGGATTCCAGTTCCCTGGCGACTCCTGAGCCTCCAAGCAACCCCATTGTTTCTGACTGGGCCACAGGATTGCAAAGACAGATGCAAAAGATCTTCTCACTTGTCTTCAATTCTTAATTGTCTGTTTTTTAAAATAAATGTGGTGCCATTGTTTTAATCCAGGAATAAAATGCAGCCCTCAGGTCAGTCAAAATAATATAAAAATTTGCCATTCTAAGGATTTTCTTTTTGAGACTGCATAACTGAAAAACACAGTAAAGAAGAAAACTCAGACATGAGGAAGTTTATTGCAAAATCAACTCAATGAAAACCCTTTAAAGAGCCAACATAATGTCTTGAAGAATTAACTCAGAAAGGTTCCTATTTTTAGGTTTCAGAACTAGCACAATCATTCTGCAGAAGAGCAGACCTGTACATATATATAATTCATGTATGGAGAATAGGCAGGAACACACAAAAATCCTTCCTCCTGCTTTGTGGTTAAGCAAAAAAAAAGTGTTGGGAAGGAGTGAATTCTCTGGTTTCTTATGTTTTGATAGAACTTGGCACCTAAAATTTAATGCTCAAAATTTGCTTTCTCATTATGTAAAAGCAAGTATTTGTGTGCCCATTACAACTCTGGCACAACTAAGCCAAAGCAAAATGACAAAGCAGACCAACAGTGAAGAAATCAATCTTTGGTTTAAGATCTACTGTTAGGATTAAGAATTTTCTACAATAAGCTTACTGTGGAGACAGGAAAAACGTTGTTGGAATGACAACACAGAACTCCCACGAAATCTGTGTTTGACAGTAAGATTTCAGCTACCCTGGGTATTCATTGATTTTTACCTGCATCACCTATTCTGATCTGTCCAAATCAGAAGGTGTGACTTGCAAACCTGAGAAACAGCAGCTGCCTGTTTTAAGGTAATCCTTCAACTGTTTGCTATAAGCAGGTGCAAAAGGGGATTATTTGAACCTTAAAATGTATTTTATGTAACTACGAATGATCCAGAGTAGAGCCAGCACTGACGCAGCTCCCTCTTGCAGTTCAGCACACAAGCCCGTGCAAGTTACCTTTACAAATAGGAATAACTGCTCTAACAACCGCATGTTTGAGGGCTCTTCCAAAGCAATCAAAACCTGGAAGAATGGGTGGGAACTGTATTTTCTCTTGTGTCACTGCATCACCATGAAACAAGCACAATCTGTTTCCAAAAAGAATTAAGACTAGTCCCACGGCAGAATGAACGACTGACTTTTAAGGATGGCAGCATTATTGTACTCTACTACTCATTAAATCCTTCGATAAATTAGTAACGTCAGAAAACACCGAGGGTTTTTTTGTTTGTCCTTAGAGGCAGGAATCGAGAGTCACATCCTGTCTTTGGCTGTATCGGGATTTGTACGTGGCAGCACAACCGTGGCCATGCCACGGGCTGGGTGTTCTGTCTGTACTGCCAAATTAGCCAGCAGCGGTTCCGAACTACGCGGCTCAAAGAGAACTGCAAAACAAACTCGGAACAAGCCACGGGAAAACAGGAAAGGGGGAGGAAATAAGAGCAACTTGGGATGAAAGAGAAAGGCGTGCCGATGTGCAGCGCTGGGGAGGGCAGGCGGGGGACGCGGCAGCGGCGGCAGCCGCCGCCACAAAGCGGAGCGGGGCGGCGGGGCCGGGCCCGGCGGGGACCGCGGGAGGTGCAGCGGCACCGGGAGGCGGGAAAGGCCGCGGGAAGGGAAGGGCCAGAAGGGAAAGGCCGCGGGAAGGGAAGGGCGGCGGGAAGGGAAGGGAAGGACCGCGCGGCCTCCGCGGGCGGTGCCCGGTGCCGGCCCTCCCGCGGGCCGAGGGGCCGCGCCACCCCCGCCCTGCCCCGAGTGTCTCACCTGGGCGGGCCCCGCTGCAGCGCCGGCTCCCCGCGGCGGCGGAGGGAGCGGGGCAGGCGGCGGGAGCCGGGCGGGGCGCGATGGCCGCCGCTCGGCGGCCGCCCGGCCTCCTGTCCCGCAGCCGCAGCAGCCAGCCCACGGCGCCGATGACGGCGCAGGCGGCCAGGAGCTCCCAGCACGGCCATCGGCCCCAGCCGGCTCCCCACAGCGAGCCCCAGCCGCCGGCGGCCCCCGCCCAGCGCTCCATGCCCGGCCCGCGGCCCCGGGCGCGGCCGGTACCGCCGGTACCTCCGCGGCCTCGCGGCTTCCGCCTCCCCGCCCCGCGCCCCCCCCGCGGGCCCCGCGGCGGCTCCGCCCGGCGCTGACGAGGCCCGGCCGCCTCCTCGGGCCTCACCGGGACAGCGGGAAGGGCCCTGGAGAGGCGAGGCGAGCGCGGCGCGGCTGCTCCGGCGGGACAGGCGGGGCTCCCAGCGGCGCTGGGCCTGGCGGGCACGGCCCGAACTGCAGCCGCTCGTCCCTCGGCAGCGAACGGCCGGGCACAGGCACTCCCAAAGGCCTCCTGAGAAAGGAAGGCTCAGCACAAGCATTAAGCTCGAAACGCCGCCCTAGTCCCCGATAAGGCGGCAGAGATGGAAAGCCATTAAGAAGGAAACCTCTAATGCAGAAGGAAAGCAGCTCCTTCGCAGATAAGAACTGGCCACCCCTCAGGCACAACATTCCTACCTCACGGACCTGCTCTCCAGCAGCGCCGGCAGGTGCTGGGATAAGTGCCTGTCCTTAAAGAAGAAAATAACGCCCCTTTAACTCACCCTAATATTGCAAGTTGGAATAATTTCTCTCGTCATCATTGCACGTGGCTAAGTTAGAATCAAGATCAAGTTTCTGCATCGTTCCAATTTGTACACTCAAGAAGTTGGCAAATTCAGGCCAAGGAATTGCATTTCTTCCCTGAAGCGTTCAGCTGACTGAGAAAAAATAAACGCAATACAAACGCAAGCACAATGCAGTTTAGATGTGTGAAAAACAGTGAAAAATCAATAAACATAAAAATTACTGCCCAAAAATCAAATCGAAGATGGTAATTCTTAAAGGAGAAACAACATGGAGCCCTTTACCAAAAATAGTTTATTGCACAAAACTTTTAAAGGAATTCCCTATGCACATAATTTTTATAATCAACATGCTTTGTATGATCATAAACATTAAATGTACATAGTGTAACTCCTCCAGCCCCTGGGTTATCCGTTCAAGAACATGAAATGATTAACTTCTATCTTTTACAAATACAGCCTAAGCAGACATTACTGAATGTCATATATGAAACAGAACCATTTCATTTACAATATCCAGAACATCCTTCCCTTCCCTAGAAATCTGTGCATCTGTATTGGAAATGAGGCTGCCCAAGACTCAGTGTTACACATAAGTAAGAGACAGAGAGATGCTGATGAGCACTGGTAATTCCTTTGGACTGTAATTAATTCCTTTCACATGAAAATATTTAAAGGCTCTGGTCACAATAAGTCACATGCAACTATTCCCACTTTCCCCACAAGGTTAATAAACGTACATCACAATCCTCTGCATCACCAGGAGTGAATCTGTCATCTTTCAGTTAAATTTATATTGATAATACTGTCTGTCCCCAGCACACCTCTGATGTTGTCATTGCTAGCACTGAAACACCCATGCCACTGCAGTTCTCTAAGGAGAAAGACACAATCCATGAAATTACGACCACCAGAACTTTCATCCCTGATATTACTTTACACACATGTGAAAGTCTCACAGATCTCAGCTAGGATATTGCCTGAATAAAGTGTATGGGATCACTATATGAGTGGGTAAGGGGCTCAGCTGATCCCAATACAGTGCACAAATATTTCCAAGAAATCTGGAAGACAATAGAATGGAGCATTATGCAATGTTCAGCAATGCCAGAGACTCAGTAACATTCTTCTCCATTGTAGGGTTTGCTGGTCTTTGTTGTGATTTCTTTTTTTAAATGCACAGTTACTCAAGAGTCCTCAAAACAGCATCTGAAAAAGTAACGCTGCAGCATTTACCAGCTTTCAGCACTTGGGAACATTCTCACATTGCAGTGACATTTTTCCTTCATCAGTAAGACTTGGTTTAGTAGGCAGCAACTACTGAGGAAACAGACACAGGAAATACATTCTATTGCAGTGCTTGAAAAAGGAAAACAAAAAAATCTTTGAGATATTATTCTTCAGATTCTCCTCTGATGGATTTGGCAGTGCTGTGACAGGCAGAGGGGAGGCAGTTTTCCTTTCTACCACTAGTTTATTGCCTAGACAGCAGAGACCTGCAGCTTTGCAGACCAAGCATGCTCAGGGTGAGGCTTTTTGATAAAACAGCAACTACTTCTCTGGATAATTAGGAAGCTTAACTGATGAGCTTCAAAGAAAAGGCCTTGCTTCTATCACACGCTGCTGCTCCTTCTAGAAGACTTCCCAAAGGCTTAGTACCTCCCCAGATTTAGACCCTCAAGTCTCCCTGTCTGTCCTTCATTAAAGTAAATGACATGGTGCTTTTGTTTATAGAAAAAAACACAGCCTGAATATGACACAAAAATACCCAGTGTCCAGGTGGGTCACTGTGGGAATCTAATCTGTGCACAAGAGCTCCCTCATCCTGACAAGGCAAACACGTCTAAGGGAACTGGACTGCACAAGCTCAGATGTCTTCAGGAGCTGGTGAGAAATGCAGCAGAGTGCAGAACTGATACAGGAAGGAGAGCAGACATTCAGAACAGCTATGCAGGTTTATAACAGTTCTGGCTTCTTTGATACCAGATAAAACCTTTATCCATACAAGTGTTGCCAAACTTAACAGATTAAAACATAATAGATTCTTAACTGTAGGCAATATATTTAATAAAGTGAACAGCAACGTTAACGCTGCACAAGTGTTATTTTAAATCCTGGACATTTGGTAGTTTTTTGTCCTGAATATATTATTCATTACATACTTTTAATGTTTTCTTTAACAATACTGAGGTGGTTTTTTTTTCTTCTTTGAGCTTAATATACAGGCAACTTCAAGAACATGACAACAGTGAGATAATCAGTACCATTTACTCTACAGAGCAGACTGCAGCAGTATGCAGACACTACCATGTCTAAGCTAGTCAGTAAAGCTTTTGGCTTCTCTTTGAATTGTTTGGTAGATCTGTAGGACGGGCACCTAATGCCACACAAATGCATTTCTTCCTTCAGTTCCAAAACCCTGACTGTCAGCACCACTTGACTTTGATCCCAGTAAAATATAAGTCAAAATCCAGTAGCTGAAGGGCATGAAATCATTCAGGATAAACTCTTTAAGTGCAAAGTGTTCAAGTGGACTAGAGCTTAAATTGGAAATTATGAGAAATCAGACTTTAGATAAATATAAGTGGGTTTGGGTTTTTTCTTAGTTTGCTTATTTTTTGCCTTACTAAAGTTTGTTTGCTAAACAAACTGCAATATCCTTCTCATTCCTCCACAACAACCAAACCCATCCAAAAGCAGAAAGAGTCTCTTTGGAAAAATACATGAACTACAATTTTTTTTCCCCAGCCACTGAATCCACTTATACTTACTAGATTTTTCTTTTTTTTTGCGAACACCAAACTATAGTGGATACAACTGACCTGTTTTCTTTATGTTTTAAAGACAAAACCACGCTAGTACAGGAGTTGCCACTAAATCTCCCAAATAACATCCCATGTATTTCGATTTGTGCTTCAGAACTCAGCACACTCGGCCAGGCAGGACCCCCCCTGGATTTGTGAATGAGGAGAGCGTGGGCTTTTATTGCTCACGACAAACCACGTGGAGCAGCAGGGCCAAAGGGGAAGCAACCTGAAATGAGCTGCTTTAAAAATCACCTGCTCAGGGTGCTCTGCAGAGGGGCTGCCACGGTACCAACACCCCCACTCGTGGTGGACACCTTGTAATAGAGGGTGCAAAAAGTAGGGGAAGTGTGGGGGGGGAGATAAAGCTATTAAAAATAATAATCTTATAGGCATTATAATTATGTCTTTTAAAGTAAAAATAATTACATTTCTGAAAGCTCTGGCTTTAGGAGCCAATTCCCCCAAGCCATTGGTACAGTATGTCGAAGGAGAGCAAACTTAAATGTAACTTTAAAACAATGACAGTAACAAAAACCCTCATGTCAGCCTTAACTTACAGTATATAAGCATATTAAAACAGATATTCAAAGTCAGAAAATTACGATCTTTTTCTTATATATATATATACTTTTTTTTTTTTTTTTACACACATACTTTTTCAAGGGTGTCTACTTCAAAACTTGAACTAAAAAGGTGCAAAGTGTTTGTGCAGTGAAGCAAAGCTCACTACTGGCCTGCGACTGTAAGAGAAAAACCGGTGCTTCAGGAAACATCCCAGACACCAACTGCTCTGCATGGCTTGTCTTTACAGTCTTGTTTCTTCTGCTATAGGTCAAGAGGTCAGTCTTCCTAGCTGGAAATAGCTTACCATGACTTTTTTTTCTCTTTAAATACAGATAACTATAATCTGAACTTTGAGAATAAAAGATTACAGGAGGGAAGAGAGAGGATGTTCAACATTATCCAGTTCTCAACCACTGCTAAAGGCTGGACATGAGAACTTACTGTCATTTGGCTACAACCAAAGATGGGAGAAAAGACAACACATCCCTCTCCCCCAAAATAAAAAACCAAACACAAAATCGTAATGTTACAAAATTAACAGTAGTTCCTCAATAAAATCAGATTGAACAAATACAGACCTGGAACCAGATGCTCCTCTTGACCTCATTTTAAACCTCCATCTCAATCTCTTACTAAACCCTCAGCTGAGCTAGATTCAGCACTTGGCAGTCCCCAGCATGACAGAATTATTATGGCAAGGTTTCAAACAAACCCTTGGAATAGCACGTTCTGCATTTACTATTACCTCAGTTTCTCAAATCTGTGCCTTTTGCTTCTACAGGCAAAAGCACAGCTCTGAACACCATTTTAAAAAATGAAATAAATAATTTTTTATAAAGATTTGTTTATATACTTAAAGCAGTAGGAAGAAAGACAACTGATAAGGAGGTTATAGTGTCAAACCTTCCTTGTCATTAACACTAAAATTCTCTTTCTTTTCATCTGCAGTAGGAATCTCCTGCTGGTCTGATGCAGTGGCAGGACTGGTAGAACCAAGGTCCATTAACTTCCCCTCAATCTGAGTCCACGAAGACATTGATTCATGTACTGTGATGGTGTGTTCCTCCATCTGACGCTGC